TTTCGATGAAGTTAATAATGCCATAAATATAAAATTTGTATTGATACATAAGAAGCCTTGCTTTGCATAAATGGCATTCGAAGTATGGCAGCAAATTATCTAGCAAACTACTTTTACAATATAGTAAAGTTTAGGTAGTTTTGGACGGTGTTGGTAAGGTACAGTTAGGGACCCAGTCACAGATCATCCATTAATTTACTGTTTGTGTGTGATATTCTATAGATCGAGGTCATGACCGGTCATCATGCACATCCAACACTACCACCACTTTCCCAACTTTTGAGAGTAACCAACATAGCTTGGGGGCTTTTGACAACCTTGACTTGACACAAAGCAAAGGCTTGGGGGTAAGTAATACGGTGGTAAGTTTTCCCCTGCCGGATTGTAATGAAGCTCAAGGCATTTTCCACCAGTTCTCTGACAGCACCCAGTCAAGTGTGTCTTCACCAGCCCCAAGTTCCCCCTTGATGAGCCCTTCCAGTGGATACCTAAGCGCCATGGATGAACTGGATGGAGAAAGTTTGCAGGAACTGATGAGCTTGACAGATGAAAATTCAATAGCTTCTTTAGCTGAATTGATGGAGTCAGAACTGCCATCTAAGAGGAAATGCAGAAGACTTTCATTAGACCAATCCAGCCCTTCTAGTCCATCAGAATCGGAAGATTCTCCAGTGTTCGAGTCTGATGGAGCTGTGGCCTCCCCAACTTGCTTTGCTTTCTCGAAGACAATATTGAAAAACGGTGAAGAGACTAGGTATGTTTGCTCCTGGTTTCTTGTTAAATATTGAATAGGTTGTAAAATGTTGTCAAACACTGGTTGGTTACTGGTCCCCCTAACAATAATTGGTAAAGTGCTTATTGTAGTACAATGTTTCTGACAGTATAACCTCGTCTCAACAGTCTTGGTGGTAGTATGCTGAATGGTCCTTTGAGTTTAACGAGATCTCCTGGGTCGTTGTCAAAGTTAATCGGCTACCAAGGTGTGGCTGATGGTACAAAGACTGGTGATATTGGTGAGTCTGTTATTTGGGATGATATTTTCTCTTGCATTTGTCACAGCAGTCAAGAATGTGCCATGGAAACTAATCCTCCAGTGAAACCAATGAAGGAGCCAAGTCTGAATGTGCCTTTCCCGAGTAAAGAGAATGGTATTGAATTAAAAGTACTTGTTCAACCAGAAAGTCATCATAGAGCTCGCTATCAAACTGAAGGAAGTCGTGGATGTGTTAAAGACGAATCCCAAAATGCATTCCCAACTGTGAAGGTGAATACCGTAATTAATTTATAGATCAGGTGTCATATTGTGTTCTTAATTTATCAAACACACAAGTGTGTTCTTGCAGGGCTTTGATGTTAAGCAGTTAAGCACCATTAAACATGAGCTTGTTTAAACTTTACAGCTGCTTGGTTGCAACAAACCTGTTGCACTTCAAGTATTTATTGGAAATGATAGTGGTAAGGTCAAACCACATGGATTTTATCAAGCAAGTAGAGTTTGTGGAAGAAACAACACTCCATGTGAAGAAAAAACAATTGATGCCACCACAGTCATTGAAATGTTCTTTGATCCTGCTGAAGACATGGTTGTAAGGTTAGTTAAAATGTGTCAATTAGAATTAGTTTGTTCATTCATCACTTGCATTGCAAATTCATAGATACAATTGTCCATTTGTGTAATAACTTGTATTTAATTTTCAGTGTTGACTGCGTTGGTATCATGAAACTTAGAAATGCTGATGTTGAGCACAAAGGACTGACACTACCAAGGTCTAAAAAGAGAAGTACCAAAGCTAGAATGGTTTTCAGAGTGAACATTCCAAAAGATGATGGAACGTACAGAACTCTACAAGTAGCATCGAGTCAAATCGCTTGCAGTTAGTACTAATTACTATTTCATTGCGTATGCTTCATTCAAGACGTATAAACTAAAATGACATTTTGTTATTCAAGATTTATAATTTCCTCCAAACTGCTCTTTCAAGATTGCATTCAGTTATGTTAGCTGTCAGTTAAATTACTTTTATGGAGTATGTGACAGTAGAAATCCTGTATGTCTGCTGTTTGTAATGTCATTAACCTTTCTCAACAGCTCAACCAACTGGTATGCCAGAGATTATGAAAAAAAGTTTGTCATCTTGTTCAGTCAAAGGAGGCGAAGAACTCTTTGTTCTTGGCAAGAATTTTGTTAGAGGAACAACTGTGAAATTCCAAGAGATTTGTGATGATCAGATTGTTTGGGAAGAAAGTGCTAAGCTTGATAAAGAGAATTTTCAACATGTAAGTTTGAGTGTATAGATTTTTTCTTCTGTTTTTGTAGTGATGAAAGATCGGTATGTAAATACTGTTCTTAGGAAATATAGTGATTAAGCTGTTATAGTTCCCATTTGGTATTGACAATGCAAAATAAATATTGTTTAAAAAATGTCTTTCTTCAGAATCATTTAGTATGCTGTATACCACCATACAAATCCCAAGATATCAGTACATCAGTTGAGGTATCCTTAGTTATTACTACTGGTAATGGTCGTGAAAGTGATTCACAACAGTTTACTTATACACCACTGTCAGTGGCAGATGCAGGTATGTTCTTCTTCAGAGTGCTCTGAAATTTTAATGAATTTGGTCAAACAGGAGATGTCCCAAACATATTTCTATTTCTCCATGCCTATCCTTCCATGATTTTAGCTCTTATTGTAGAATTTTTGCTATAACTGGGACTTCATAACTAACAATGTGGCATTAGCTTATGCAGTAGAATTTTTTTTATTTCTTTTTATTTTGAATTCTTCATCTCTTTAAAAAATATCTGATCAAAAATAGCTTTGCACGTTTGTTCACTAACTCTGCTTTAATAGAATAACTTTACTTTTTGGGACATCTCCTCAGTTTTGTGGGGCCTGAGATGAAATGTTTTGGGAATATATAGACGCCTTTTTTTCTGGACACATTTAATTAAATCCCAACACATTTTCTTACAATGTTTTAATATTTTTGGTTTTGGGACTAAAAGAGGGGGACATTGTTGGATGCTCACACTTTGGCTCCAACCAGACTGCTTTTGACCTCTTTGCCTTCATTCTGCATTATCTCAAAGCAAGAGGAATTACTTTTAGAAGTTCATAAGACATTGTTTTATGACATTAGTTAACCTTGCTGTTGACCTTCACATGTTTCTTTGTTCCTCTTGCTTTCTGAGCAGAGAAAATTTGAGTATGAATTGACAGTGCACTTTTGATCGTTTAAAGTGGAATTGGACATAGACCAAAACTACAAATATCTAATAAGATGCAATGCAGTCTTGAGGATCTGAACAAAAAATGTTTAGTGTAAACAAATAAATTCAAAAGTGCACTTTGTTGTGATGCCATGATGTATGCGTGTTTGGGATATCCAGGGTTTGAAATACAGTTAACATGTTCCTACCAATTTGGCAAAATTTAAGAGCTGTTGATATCCAATCATGGAGTTATGTTTGTGTAGGAAAATACATGTAGTTTTTTTCAAATCCTGGGATTGTAAATGGTTTGGAGGGTTGGTGGAGACAACTGGAACTGGAATTGCTATTCATGTGATTGAGGAGTGGGTTTGGATTTTTTTTCAGTGGGTGTGGATCTGGCCTTGTGTGGGTTTGGGGCCCCCTATTCATCAAAACCTTCTTCTTTCGCTTCAGGATAAAGAGATGCATTTTGCACAGATGTGCGTGCACATGTCAGGCTTGTTGGTGACACGTTAAGTGGCTATGCCTTTAACGCCCGTCCAACACTACTCTCGGGCGGTAAAAAATAGAACAGAGCGGTACTTGTAATTACTTTGATCCTTTAAGCAATTTGCTACAATTCCCATGCCAGTGATGTTATGGTTCAGAGGTTAATTGCTGCTGGCATGAAAATTAAACCCATAATAAATAGAATTTTAAACTGATAAATAGCATTGCTTTCAAGTGATAGCCAGTCAGGCAGGAAGTTTTCATAAACATGTAGTAGAGATAGCAAGTTTAGACCGATTGTTAACAGTGAATAATTTTCTGTTCCTTGTCACTAGGCATAGGAAACGTAGCTTTGGTATGATAATTGCAACACTGACATCTGGCTCCTAAAAATGATCAGTATGTCATTGAAAATATACAAATCAAAAATATAATATGCAATAGTCTGAAACAGTAACTTGATTTTTTTTTTAGAATATTTGGAATGACATTTTAAGTTCAGGCGGAAACAGTTATTGCTTTTGTATTTAGTCCATTTATATTTTTTGGTTCGAATCATACCTGTGCTTTATCTACACATCCAGCTGTCATTCCATGCACACCTACATAGTTCTTTTTCAGAGCCAGGGAGAAGAGGATCCTTTTGCACACAGCTGTCATACAAAACATTAGCATCCACACTATCAAAATACCAACTGTTACTGGTAGAGATGGCTGTACCAACCCTACAAGAAGAAACTATGCTTGTACAACAGTGTTTTTTCGTTGACTAATTTGGTTTTCTAAACATGGTCAAGTGTAAATTTATATTGTATTTGGAATCTGGGCACGGGACATGTGCAATTACTTGACTGTCTATCTATGGTAAATTCCATAACTTGCAGGGGTGTGGATGCAAATTTTATCACCTTGCGTTCGTCTGATAAATATGAAATGAAATATGAAACCATTAGATAAATTGATGCAATTTGTTGAAATTACTGAAATAAATCTATGAATGACTAATAAACCTGCTGCTTTGAAAACTTGCATAGACCATACTGTCAGTTTCTACTTGCAACTGGTCGTCTAAAGATGTACTTTTTCACACTACAAAGCAATGGTCAAAACCAGATTTACCAACTGGCTTAAAATTGTTGTGGCTCATATTTAGCAGTGGTCTATTTTAGGAGGGCAAATGGCATTATATCCAGTAGTCGTTTGCACCAGTAACATTTCAGAGTATGCAGTTATGACTTAGTGTCTTATTTGGTAATAATCATTATGACAGGACTAGAAATTGCTTGTGAAGTTTTGCTGGTGAATAGAAACTAAATATGAGCTTGGATGAATGTGATGTGGTTTCTGATTGTTGAATCACCCTTGCCAGTTGAAAGGTGGAAAAGCACTGTTACTTTATTTTTCAGCTGCATCTGTTCCACAACAATTCTTAATTGTCCATATATTCTGTTTGTTAATTTCTTATTTCCCACCTCTCCACAGATGCCGCACAGGTGAGAACTGAGCAATATGAAGCTCAGATGTGTACAGGAAATGAAAGAAAAACATCAACAGGTAAGTGATAAGCAAATGTTCGTTGAAAATAAACATTATGCAAATCAACTCAGTAAAATATCACAACTTTCAGTTTAATATTTCTACATCTTACAATAAATCATACTTGTTTTCAGAGGTGGAGTCTGTTAAATCAAGAACGGAAGTACCACAACATGATCAGTCCCTACAAAGTGGAAATGATTCAAGTTTTGCAGAGCAGTTAAAGATGGTTGCCCTTCTTGCAACTGGACAAACAAATTTGAATAGTGGGAATGGTCTTGCACAAAAAGTTATGTCTGTCGTCAACAAGCATAAACAGCATCAACAAAGCCAGCATCAGCAGGCCATATTACAGCAGCAGCAGTCGTATCTAGGTGGGTAGTCCATTGATAGTTTTTTTAATCTGCTTATGAATGGGGTGTTTGGACAAATTGCGCTAGAGTTCAGCATTATTACTGCTACCATCTTAGAAGGGGCACTTTATGGTAGCAAACATTTCTTTTTTTAAAGACAAGTGTAGGAGAAGCTGATACAGCCAGGACTTTTTATTTTATTAAAATATTGTCTTGTCCTTGTTAGGAGCAGAAAGTTGGCATGTTAGTAAGCAGTTTATGGTGGGTCATTCGGTTGGTGGCTTTCTCTCTGTAGCAAATCGCAAAATATTTAATCTTCTGCAGCATGAACAATATTGTATTTAAGCCAGTATGAGCAGTATTTTTTTTTAATCCATTCTTTTCACATTTCATTTGATTCAGTTATGGATTTCAGGCATTTTTAGCTCAAATTGGTTGCAGGCAGCTTGCATTATGATTGCAATACTTGACACTGTCCTACACAATTCAAAAACTTAACCTGAATTTTGTGCCTCGCTTTCCATTATCAGGTGATGGCAATCAAAATAAAGCAGCTGACGAAACAAGAGAAGCAACTAGTGTACAACAAACCAACCTTAAAGCTAAGCAAGCTGACCAAAATCAGATCATCTTTCCAGTAGATGTTGATAGTGATCTTGATGCAATACTTGCTAATTTACACCAAGTAGCTGCAGCACTGTCTAGTGGTGATAGTCAAGTCTCTAATGGTATTGGTAAATAACTTGAAACAATTTTCTTTTCAGTGAATCACCAGGAACCATGCAAATAAAATTTTAAATTGTCTAATTGCCATTACATTCAAATTATGAATCTTGGAGAAGCTGTAAGGTCGTGCTGGTGAGAAGGTTTTGTGGCATTTAATCCAGTGTTGCAAAAGGGTACTAGTTCTCAGTAGTTACAATGTACTACTGTGAATTCTAATAAGAAAGTCATTTCCTGTTTCAGCACCCAGATAACTGCAGAAGTCCTGTTCTCAATAACTTGCGAGCAATCCTGAATTTTGTTTTCAAATGAGCGACCTTCTCACCATCACACTACCGGTGGCAGCTCATTGGCTATCAGTTTTGGCTGAAGTAATGGCCATTTCATTGGGAGATACTTAATATAAATAAGAATTTGTTGATGTTTCATTTTCACAGCAGGCTGTGCAACGCTGTTTTGACTATTTTTCACCTCTTTGCATTATGAATATAAAATTTATTACTTCTGATCAGATTTTGTATCGGCATAGCCAATTTATGCGAAATCGATTAATTTTAACATATCGTATTACAGTTTTTGGAGATTCACCAGGTAAAAAGGTAATTAAAACGTGTGTGCATTATTCTAAATGTATTTTTTTTTTATTAATAGTGATGCTCAATCAACCGAACCAGAGGACTCTTCTGTGGTAGTGATGGTGAAGATTCTATATATAGAATTCCAGAATATGTAACATATTGTATATAGCAGTATTTATTTTTGTACGTCTTGTTAGACTATGGCTAGTAGGTTTTTGACCTGGAATATTAGCATGGTTTGATTAGAAGTTTGTTTCCTGAATGGTTGCCAGATTTTGAATATTTGGATGGTAAGGCAAAGTATGTAATTTATCGGGACATGTTGAGGATTGTGTTTTAGCACAACACAAAAGTTTGACAACTGTAATTTTCCAGAAGTACTAGGCAGATTTAAAATGTATGATTTGGACCAACAATTTCACAAACACATTTCTGGGCCTTTTGGAGACTATCTTGTTTTTTACCAATTGAGGTAAGAGTTTACATAAAATTTACAGAGGTTTATATTTTATCTTTTATATGGAGATTTTTTTGTCAGTGTAATTTTGTATGTACATATTTTTCAAACATTTAACTGAACTGTACTTGAACTAAAATCAACTATTTGTGTTTTGTAGTGCTCTGCACTTCAAAACATACAATAGCAAATTTTAAGTTTATATTCATTTTATATATACAATTGAATCCTATTTATGTTTGGCCCTCTAACGTCACAATTCTGTCCCGTGTGTCATGAATTATATTCTTGTGACCGACAAATTCTTATTGTCAATAATGCCCCCGTCCATACAGAGTACAATGTATGTCGTCGTTACAGAATTACTGGAAAAGCATAACACAATTTTTTTTTTGTGGGAAAACTGACCTTTCAAGAACTTGTGTTGGTTTATTTGACATGCTGTAAAAAAAGGCTTGTATTTCCTAGAGTTTATGTTAAACAACAAATGCATATAATTGAAACCCATGTGCAAAGTAAACAAAGTTTACAGTATTGTTTGCGTTTGGCCCAATCACTGCCATTGTTTAATCACCCCACCCCAAATGTATTGCAAGTATTATACTTAAATAAACAATTATAAATAAAAGATTGTCATTATCTGCTTATTTGAGAATAAAACAATTAGTCCTCTTGTTTGGATGAATAAGTGGGA